TCCTTCAGGAGGCCCACAATGACGGCGGGGCTCAGGCAGTTCCCGGCATTCTTCAGGGATGTTCCTGGGGACCAAGAGAAACTACCATTAGGACCCTGTTGGGAACATGAGATGGGCATCAGGCCGCTGGCCCCACCTCCCTCATTCACGGGTCCCTGGGGCTCAGAGCCAGCTGGGGCAGAGGCACCCTGGGGGCTCAGCTGGGAAACCCCTGGATGCTCTCCACCTCTACCTGCCCTGAGAAACGCCTCTGGAAGACAGGTCGACCCCCCTTCGTGCCGCCCCGCCACTCGGCCGGGTTGGCCTGTCTGCCTTCCTAGAGGGCACACTGGGAGAACTCCCTACTCGCACCCCTTCCTGGCACTCGGTCTCTTGTGGCCTTAGGAAATGGGAACAGAAGGGAGTGACTGGGCCACCCTCTCACATCCCTCTGTGACCCAGAGTCTCTGTATCCGGAGTCTCTGTATCCGGTGCCTGGGCACACAGTGGGGGGCCCCCCCCGGATCCTCAGTGCTTCAGGGACTAGTGCTTCCACCCTCTTCTCTACCCAAAGTACGTCAGTGCCCAGCAGTCAAAGGGGAAGGACGTCCCTTCCTGGCCTCTCAACCATATCTGCACAGGGACGGGTCCCCTCCAAAGGCATCCAGAGCCTGCGCTGTGTCCCTGAGGGGTTTGGACAAAGGGCACCTCTGGCTCCCATCCCCACCCACTCCATGGCTGAGCAAACACTCCCAAGGGCACACACTGCTCAACATGTCACAGAACACATGAGCTGCCCTCCCCCACCCCGACCTCCCCTCCTCTCACATCACAGGAGACGGGGAAGTCACATGGTAGGTTAGCAGCAGGTTCAAACCAAAAGCTAACATCCTGTTGCTTCATGGGGCCTCCCTCCTCTGATCTCTGCTTCCCGCGGGCAAGTCTGCCTCTTGTGAGATCTCTTAGACCCCAACAACATACATCTCAAAAACCTGGCATGAACAGGATTTGTGGACACTAAACCTATTTTCCCCACCAGGACACTAGAAATCACCTGACCAGGCTCTCAGTCACCTCTGGGTCTATGACCCGCTGTGTGGTCTCACACTCAGCTGGGTGCAGGGTCCTTGTCACTCTCTCCCTCCCTGGACAGGGCCCCCAGCTCCTCCAGTGCAGGTGACAACATCTGGACTCACCCTGTGTCACCACTTGGATGGTCCCTTTGGGGGACCCAGCCCAGGCTCGCATCAGTGTCCCCAGAGCTTCTGCCAGGCCAATCCACGGCTTGGTGTGTGGAGAGAAGGCACTGGTAAGGGCCTGGGCATTGACCTGCAGAGAAAGGGGAGGAGGGCGGAGGGCAGGAAGAGGCAGGCGGGAGTGTGCCTACCCACCTCCACACCCAAGTCAGCCTCTTGCTGCCACGTGGAGAGCAGATGGTAAAGGGCCACCCTTGCTGGGGTGCCTGGTGGGCAGCAACTGCCCATCAGCCACCAAGAAGGCAATGACGTTCCCTATCAAGCGGAGAGAGAAGGCCAAGATCACTCGACACGGCTGGAGGGCAGCCACTTCTCCCTTCACCCTTTAGCTCCTTGGGTACGCGCTCTGGGTGGAGGGCAAAGGCACCACACAGGGCACAGGGAGCTTTACATCCTGGTGCCTGTCCTCATAGAAACTAGACTGAGGAAAGATAACAGCCCACGAGTCTGGACAGTGACGAGGCTTCCAGCTCCTGGAAAGATTTATTCTCGGAAAACCCACAGGGGCAGTTGTACTCTTAGTCTCTGTGGAGTGAGTGGAGAACCCGGTGAAGGAAAGGCGCAGACCCACAGGCTTGGCGTCAACTCAGACCCACAGCGATGACTCCATAGGACAGAGGAGACCACTCCCTAGGGTGTCCAAGCTGGGAATCTTTATGGAAGCAGACTGCCTTGCCTCGGCTTTCTCCAACAGAGTGGCAGCTGGCTCTCAACCCCTGACCTTTTGGTTGGTAGCCCAGCCCTGAAGCTGCACCTACAGTGTATGAGGAGCTTCAAAAGCTCACACAAGAGTAGAAATGAAAGATGACAGAGATCCTTCCACGAGCTTTTCAAAGCCCCCTCTTGCACACAGCAAAAGACCCCTGGTGGCGTCGTGCATTCCAGGTTGGGCTGCTAACCTCAAGGTCAGCAGTTCGAAACCATGAGGAGCTCTGGCCTTTCTACTGACAGCACACGGCACCCTTGGGACTGAAGAAATGTCTCCAGGAGGAAGGAGGCGGGAGCATTAGTCAAGGTAGAAGGAAAAGAAGACAAGACATGGGGTGCGCACACGCCCATGGGATGTCTGTAGCAGGCAAATGTACATGGACCAGGGTTTACGAGCGGTTACCAGGGACAGAGGAGACAGGACGGGGTGGGGGGCAGCCACTGTTGAGGAAGCATCGCGTGAATGCTGGGAGCTTGTGGCGATGAGGAATGTGGCCCTGGACGTGGCTGCAGGTGCTGATTAATGCGCTCAGCGTCAGGAGCGACAGGAGCAGAGCATGCTCAATTGACTAAATGCTGTGCTCCGCACCCTCTCACCACACTGTAAAAGCGTGAGGGATAAGTATGCCATGGTTGGGGGAAAACAAGGCAGAAGGCTGGTGTGGAGAGTTTGTTGGGGGGCGGGGGGCCCCTTCACCTGGGCTCAAAGGCGAACATGAAGAGGGAGGGGCTCTGAAGGGTTTGCGCGGTGTGAAGGGGCTTTCCACACGCCACCCCCCACCCTGCCCCCACTCACTGCATGGGGCAGTCACCTCAGCAACGCTGCTGCATCCCAAGGCATGCAGGAACAAAGGGCCCTTTCTCTGGGAGCCTGGCCTGGGAAGAGCCTGCAATCCCTGAAGCAGGGCCTAGCTGGACGCCTCTGCCGCCAGGCCAGGCCATTGCCAGGCGGGGGGACATGGCTGCTCCACCTGCCCTCGCCAGGCAGGGCTGACTCTAATGGGCTCCCTCAGCCCCGGTTCGCACCAGCCCCGCCTGGGGACACTTACCACCCCTGCTAGAGATTTGCCCTTCACCATGTCCACGAACTGGATGGCGATTTCCTCCCCGCAGCGGCTCTGGGCTTCCTTGGTGCTGGCGCCCAGGTGGGGGCAGCTGATGACGTTCTCGTGGTCCACCAAGGCTCGGTCTCGGGGTGGCTCCTGTCCAGGAAGACACCCTGCTGGTGAAGACTGTGCTTGGGCCACTTGCCCTCGGGCAGTCCCGGAGGGAAGGGAAATTGGAGAGGGAAAAGGCAGGGGGAGAGTGACCATCTGCTTCGGGTTTATCAGGCCGTTCACGCATCTCAATCGCTGATTCCCCATGAATGTCCAGACAACAATGCCCACTCAGAGACCCCCTGGCACAGGGTAGAAGTGTCCCTGTGGGTTTCCAAGGCTGTCAACTCGTTACAGGAGTAGCTTAAAGTCCTGTCTTTCTCCCACAGAGCTGCTGGTGGTTTCAAACTGCTGACCTTGCAGTTAGCAGCCCGATGCCACCAGGAGGCCACCCCAGGAGGGGAGGCTCAAGCTGCCCTGGTGGATCACGTTTCACTGAGAGGGCTTGAAGGAGGTGAGTTGGCTCCTGCTGAACTTTGACTTTGCGGCCCTGTGAATCCAAACCCCATACAAGATTCCCAAAAGGACACATTTCGGGGGAAAGGTGCAGCATTAGGGTGTTCGGGAGGTTGGCAATACGGAGACTGGCAAGGTGGGCCTCCTCTGCCATCAAGGAGCGTATAATCTAGTTTAGCAAAATGCCCACAAGGACAGGGCAAAAACGCACAGCCGAGGGGCCAGTACCTCGACCCAGGACACCCAGCAAGCAGGCACTGGAGTGAGCAAACCCCTGACTGCCTGGCCCAGGGGCCATGATTCCTCCCCTGTGTCCCAGACGGAGAGGGACACTCTGGAACTGGGGCAAACTGTGAAAATGCACTTGTCCCGTTCTTTGGGGCGTGTGGGGACGGTCAGTGGAGCAGGGGCGGCAGCCCAGTCTGGGGAGTGAGGGGGCCCTGTTTTCTAAGGGCTTCCTTCCCAGTCCTGGGAAGAGGCTGGGATTGGGTAAGCCAGTGGTTCCCACATTGGGATGTTTTCGTCAATGAGAGACCTGTAACCATAAACACACTCAATCCTTCCCGTCCTGCTCCCTTGGCTTTACAGACACCCCCATCCCCACCCCCACGCCAGCCACTGTTCAGAGTGCTCTCCAGCTCCTGTCTTCCCCTAAGGAGTCCTGGTGGTGCTACCTGGGTAAGCGCAAGGTCAGCAGTTCAAAAGCACCTAGGGAGAAACAAGAGGCCCGCTGCTCCCATGAGATTCCCAGCCTCAAGAACCTCACACAGCGTCACCACCAGTCAGAATGGACGTGCTGGCCGTGGGTGCAGCTTTGGGTTTGGTCTTTCCCTCGAGTTATGAAAATGGCAGCCGAGGAGATGCGGCCTTCTTGAAAGCTTGCAAGAGTCCACACGGCTGTCCTGCACCCACCTCTGCCAAGGCTCCTCAGATCCCAACAGCTTTCTCACACTGCAACTTCCCCCACTGACCATGGACCCAGGAAGAGTAAGCGGAGACCCCCTGGCATGGCACCATGCTGGGCTGGGCTCCCTCTGCCCTGGGGTCTCCGTGCTCCTCCAGCATGGGCTGCCAGGCACTTACCTCGGTAAACACATCCAGCGCTGCCCCACCACACTGGCCTGACTGCAGGGCACGGAGCAGGGCGCCTTCATCCACAATCCCCCCTCGAGCGCAGTTTACCACACGCACGCCCTTCTTGCACTGGGCAAAGGTGCTGTCATTCAGCAAGCCTGGAAAAAAGAGGGCGTTGCCCTGCTGGCAGGTGCCTGGAATCCCCACTGGCAGCCCCGGCTCCTCCCTGGGCCCTCCCTTCTCTCTGGGTCTCAGCTCTCCCTCCTCTGATGCTCCAGGACCCGTCAGGGTCCCTGCTCCGGATCTGGGCCGGCTCCGAGCTAAAAGCGTTGTCTGGAGACATCCCAGAAGCCCCTGAGGGATGACTGCCTCAAAGAGTTTCAGGACTCAGAAAGGCTGGCAGGATCCCCTGCATTCCTCCTGGGCTCACAGGACGGACTGGCTGTGTCAAATTCGTCCAGATGGCCTGTCCATTTCCAGACAGCATGCTTCGCTCTGAGACAGCCCGTCTGACCGAGCATCACCAAGGTCTCCTCAGCTGGCCACCAACCAGGACCTGCTGTGGCCAACCCACAGGCAGGAGTACACTACCTGTGGTGGAGGGCAGGAGAGGAGTGTGCACCGTGATGAAATCACACAGGGGCCAGATCTCGTCCAGGGGCAGCTGCTGAACTCCGAAGGAGGACGAGACCTCTGGAGAGATGATGGGGTCGTACCCTACAGTCTGATCAGAAGCCAGAGAGAGGTTGTCATCATTGCTGCCATTATTCACAGGAGGGGGGGTACCACCTGTTGAGCGGTTACCATATCTGAAACATTAAGCTGAACCTATCTGCAAATACTGGTTCAATTCCCACAATGGCCCAACTGGGTTGCTCTCATTTGCATCTCCCCCCCTTTAGGTGGGAGGGAAGCATGGCTAACACGCCTGGGAGGTGATGGCGCCAGAAGAGTGGGGTGTCTTCGTCCTGGCACCCTTCTCCCCCCACCCCCACCCGCCCACAGACAGAAGCAAGAGGAATGTGTATGGCAGGAAACGGTGGAACTTGGAAAGTAGGGTGCCCCTGGGAGGAAGCATGGTCATATGAGGAGCAAGGATATGGTGGTGGGGTGCAGCCAGGTAAGTGAAAGGAGTGTTCAAAGGGAGGAGGGCAGTGAGGATGGTGGCAATGCAGGGCTAGGACTGCTACCGACTCTTCAATGGTGGAGATTGAAACTTATCAACATTGTCATGTCCCCTGGGGCCAGGAGGGGGGGCCTTCTTGATATTGGGGGCTCATACAGCTCTTATCACAATCTATATATGCATGCATTGTGTCCAGTGGTTTTGTACATATGTTGGCATCATTTTCAAAACATTTTCCTTCTACTTGAACCCTTGGTATCAGCTCATTTTCCCTCTTCCCCCACCCTCCCTCAGGAACCATGGATAATTTATAATTTTTTTCATGTCCTACACCAACCCGACCCCTGCCTCTCCACCCACTTTTCCATTGTCCATCCCCCAGAGAGGGGCTTATATGTAGATCATTGGGATCAATTCCCCCTTACTCCCCCCACCTTCCCCTTCTCCTCTTGGTATCATTACTCTCATTATTGATCTTGAGGGGTTTATCTGACCTGGATTCTGTGTGTTTTGAACCCTTATCTGTATCCATGTACATGCTCTGGTCTAGCCGGATTTATAAGACAGAATTGGGGTCACTATGGGGTGGGGTGGGGTGGGGGGAGCATTAAAGAACTAGAAGAAAGTTGCACGTTTCATCGGTACTATACTGCATCCTGATTGGCTCATCTCTTCCTCGTGACCCTTCTGTCAAGGGATGTCCAATTGTCTACAGATGGGCTTTGGATCTTCACTCCACACTCTTCCTCATTCACAATGATGTGATTTTTTGTTCTGGGTCTTTGATGCCTGCTACCTGATCCCATCACCATCTCATGATCACAAAGGCTGGTGTGCTTCTTCCAGGTGGGCTTTGTTGCTTCTCAGCTAGATGGCCGTTTGTTTATCTTCAAGTCTTTAAGACCTCAGATGCTATATCTTTTGATAGCCAGGTACCATCAGCTTTCTTCACCACATTTGCTTATGCATACACTTTGTCTTCAGCGATCATGTTGGGAAGGTGAGCATCATGGAATGCCAGGTTATTAGAACAAAGTGTTCTTGCATTGAAGGAGTACTTGAGTAGGCCCAATGTCTACCTGTTACCTTAATACTTAACATATATGTACATAGATCTATTTCCCTATCGTATATAAATATATTTACATAAGTACATTCCTATATTTAGATCTCTGTAAATGTTCTTTGCCTCCTAGTTCTTTCCTCTTATTTCCTTTTACTTTCCTCTTGTCCCACTATCATGTTTGGCCTTCATTCAGGTTTCTGTAATTCCTCTCAGTTACATTGCCCTTGATAAAACCTGACCAGGCATCCTATGCCCTCCTCGCCATCAATTTTAGATCACTTGTTGTTCCCTTGTCCCTAGGTTTTTGACACCCCCTTTCCTTTCCCTTGCCTTCCCCTCTCCCATGTCCCTCTGGGACCACCAGTCCTGTTATTTTCTCCTCTGTATTGTTTATCTCACCTATCTTATCTGGATAAACATGCAGAGACCACAATAAGCACAACAACAAGACAGAGCAAACAAAACAAAACAATAAAAACAACAACAAACCCCAACAACAAAAAAAGAAAAGCCTATAAATAGTTCCAGATCTGTTTGTTGACCTTTAGGAGTGTTTTGCAATATTACTTTTCATAAAAAGCTTACGAGGCACCTAGTCTTGGAGGCCCTAGCTTGCTGACGAAGCTCGCACCACAGTACAGGGACTAAGGTAGATCTGATTGTGGTGGAGACAAGGGTAATAAGAGGTGGAAAGTGACACATACTGGCAGGGTGGACGGTGAAGAGTCCATGCTGCACCCTGGTCTGGACTGGCAAGGGAGGACAGGGGTCTCCAAAGCAGAGGGGCTCCCTGAAACTGCTGAGAAGGAAGAAAGATCAGATCCTGCTAAATGGGGGCTGTCAGAAAACCCCAGCAAACTACACCAGCCTATGAAACTGGTGATGGGAGAGAGACGCTGCCAAGACAGAGCTCCAACGAAAAAGGAGAGAGAGTGTGTGTGTGTGTGTGCGTGTGTTTTGTTAGGTGCCATCGAGTCAGTCCCAACCATAGTGACCCTAAAACACAGCATGAAACACTGCCCAGTCAGCACCAGCCTCTTAATTCTTGCTATGTCTGAAGCCATGGTTACAGCCACAGTGCCAATCCATCTAGTTGAGGGTCTCCCTCTGTTTCGTTGGCCCTCCACTTTACCAAGCACGATGTCCTATTCCAGGGACTGGTCTCTCCTGAGATCACGCTCAAAGTACATGAGACAAGATCTCACCATCCTAGCTTCCCAAAATTCTGACTATAGTTCCCCCAAACAGATTGGTTTACTCTTCTGGAAGCCGGTGGGACTCCCAGTATTCTTGGCCAGCACTGTAATTCAAATGCATCAACTCTTCTCTGGTCTTCCTGCTTCAATGTCCAGTCTTTGCATACATAGGCAGTGATTGAAAATAACGTGGCTTGGGTCCGGCACACCTTTGTCCTCACAGGGATATGTTTAGTCTTTAACACTTTAAATAGACCCTGTGCAGCAGATGTGCCCAATGCAATACATTAATGTCCTGATTGGGTGTGTAGCTAGAGCTAAACAAGGCAAACATTTCAATAGCATTGACTGTGAGTCAGATGCTTTTATCTACACTGGTTGGGTATGGTTGCTTCCCCATTTTACAGATGAGGAAACTGAGGCACGGGAGGTTTCATCATGTATCCAAGGTCACAAAGTTAATAAATGATAGAAAACTCACAGCCATCAAGTCAGTGTTGGCTCATAGTCAGGGTTTTAGACGTGAATTGCCTTATTTTCTTTGCATGGATACATTGGTGAGTTTGAACTGCCAAACTTTTGGTGAGCAGTTCATTGCTTAACCCACATTACCACCTGGATAGATGGTAGATCTGATACAAACCAGGTATTCTGGCTCCAAAGCCTGCACTCCATGTATCTCACTGCCATCAAGGTGTTGCTGACTCATAGCGACCTAATGAGATAGGGTAGAACTGCCCTGTAGGGTTCCAACACTGTCACTCTTTACAGGAGTAGAAAGCCCCACCTTTCTCCTGCAGAGCAAAAGGTGATTTCAAACCGCTGACCTTGCAGCCAACTTGTAACCACTGCACCAGAGCTAGTGGTCCCTGCACTATGTGTATAGGCTCTGAACAGTGGTTGTAAGCCTGGCAAGAAGGGCAGGTGTACACGTGGGACCTCTGCCACCTGAAGAGAAGCAGCAGGGTGGCGGTCAGGCAGGAGGGCACCACAGTCCCTTGAGTGGTGAAAGGAGGATGGATTGAGGTGAGAGAGAACCTCACCTCTCCTGCTTCTAAGACAGTCTTAGATTCCAGCCCCGCATCCTCCAGTACAGCAAGGGCAGTGCCTTATGGGCCAGCAGACCGGCACAGACACCTGGGCAGAGGACAGCCCAAAGGGTCTGACCCCCAGGAACTGCAAAGCCCTACCCACTTTCTGCCTGGTCAGCCTGAGAGTCCCTCTCAGCTCTGTGAGTTCCACCACATCCACGAAGTCAGGGGGAAGGGACTTGGGAACCTTAAGTCTCAAAGGCATCCATGGCCTCAAGAAGGCAGGGCAGGCAGCAGGCCTCAACGCCATCGGCTGTGATGTAGGAGCCTTGGATCTGCTTCCTGGCACCATCACTGCCAACAGCATCAAGGCGGAACCAGCCCCCCTGACCCCAAAACCTGGGTCCTTGAACTGAGAAATGCCCTCCTCCCTTCGCTTGGGGAGGATGAAATGTCCAGGGAAGGAGATAGCATCTTGGCCCTTGTTGCTACAATTCTCCTTTGTCTGGTGGCTCTGAGAATGGCTAGGACAATGGGCCCATTCATCGCTAAGGCAGATGGACTTTTTTTTGCATGTGGAGGGGGACCAGGAAGAGGACACCAGCAAGGATCACAGAGCCAGGTCCGGCTGAGCCAATTCACAGAACTCTCTCGCCTGCCCTGCTCTCAGGAGCCAAGAAACA